ATTAATTGAAGCTGCTCGATTGTATGCGTTGTGCTGATTCCACAGGATTTGCTAATTGCATAATAGCATGAATGCGCAGGTGTACCTAATAAAGTGGACGGTGACTGTATATCTCACGAAAATAAATTAATCTAATGTCTAAGGCATCAGGCAAGGTATTCATAATCATTTTGTTTAATAACTTTTTGCAAGCTATTCTATTCTACAAGCTTGAAATAACTTCTGTTGTGAACAATCCTGTCTTGGATTTTTTTTAGTGATTTTTTTTTTTCATTAAAACAATCTAAATTACTTTATTTCCTTCCTTTTGAAAATCACTGGAATTTCCCTTTAAGCACTTTGATATTTAAAGGTCAAAGGTGTTATTGATTCACTGTCATTATTCCTGGCAGGTCAACACAGGCCATTATTTTTTGGACCAGTTGGTTTTCCTGTTTTATCAAGAGTGAGTTCTCCCTGCCAATGGTAATCTATAATAATGTGGATTTAATTAACATATCTTTCCTGATTTAGCCATATGCCCTATAACAGACATCCGACTGCTTCCTAACTGCTTTGTGTGTTCGAAAGGTCAAGGGTTTGGGTTCCGTCTATTTCTCCATGCTAATGAAAACCTCCTTGCTTTGTGCATGCAAATAGTAATGCACTTGCCCTGTTCTGACAGACATGCAAACATGGAAGCCTGTGCATAATGACTTACTCTGGCTGTGTATACGAAAACCTGAGCGTGAACCACAAGGGTGAGGACTGTCAATAAAGCTGTGGGTGAATCAGCAATCCACTGTGATTGTGACCTTGGCCATGAATGGCTGCTCCCCATGGTGAAGCATCCTTATCATTATCACTAGAATCATTTACTAAGATGACAGATTGGGTCCCTTAATCAAGTGAGCACAAATGAGTTACTGGTAGCAAAGCATGGTGTCCGTCTTCTGAGGGATGGTGGTGTGTGGGGTGTACTGCAGGTGTGTCATGCCTAATGCCGTCTGTAATTTCTCACCCAGCGTCAGAGACAGTAGTAGCAGCCGGAGCGCAGCAGCTGCTCTGAAAAAGAAGGATGTGCCTTCACTTTCTTCTACACTAATAATGGAGGACATGGCTTCATATCACGGATTCGTATACCAGACAGGTTTCATGGTCTTTAAGCACTTAAGCATGCCTCATGACTTCACGCAGCTTTCACGTAATATGAAAACAATGGAGTTTTGCAATTGGCATGGCTTCAGTAATTTACCATGAGAATAAAATCTCAAAATCTCAAATTGAATATAAACACCAAGTAGCCTTGCATATATTATTGGTGTGGTTTAAATGATGATACTCTGACTGCAAACTGATAAATCCAAACCCTCAGAGAGGACAGGTTTCTCATTTCAAGCTTAAGCTGGAGATTATTAGTAGAACAGTACAACATTTCTCCATTGATTTCTTACAGTGGACACTATATGGGCAGTTTGTGTGTGTGTGTGTGTGTGTGTGTGTGTGTGTGTGTGTGTGTGTGTGTGTGAGATTTGCTTGATATTGACTGGATGACAGAGTGCATTACATATCTCTCCCCCGAAATCCACCCATCTGCACCCGACAGTGCTCAGGACAGAAGGAGGGATGATGGTAGAGGAATGGAACAGAGGACAGGACTGGCTGGGGAACTGCAGCGGCCCGCAGGGTTGACATGATCTAATTAAGTGATCATGATGTCCGAGCTGGAAGGAGGAGAGGAGGTCCAGACCAAATGTTCAGTAGCGCTTACGCCTCTCCTTTGGGTTGATGCCCAAACACACATACACACACACACTCAAATCCCTGGACCAGACTCCGGCGGTACAGACTTCAGCTCAAACTCCACAAAAGCAGAAAATAGCGACGTCTAAAGAGAGAGAGAGAGAGAGAGAGCAGTGCGGGTAATGACAAATCTTTCTGTCTCACCGCTGCACCTTATAACAATACGCACAGACTTTAACTACTTCTGACAATCAGTAAGATCTGTAGAATGTTGAATTGCTTGTAAATTGATAGGGATTCAAGGTGGACGTTTTTTTTTTTTTTAGTGCCAGCTTTTTATAGTGATTTCACAATTTGCTGCCAACACACTGAGACAACTGTCTGTGTAACTGTGGAAACTTAGTTTCCCGATAATGTGCATACTGAAATGTTCATTTTTATGACTGCCACTCAAAAATGCTACTAGACTATCTTATAAAAAAAAAAAAAAAAAAAAAAAAAAAAAAAAAAAAAAAAAAAAAAAAAAAAAAAAAAAAAAAAAAGGAACAGTTTTTTTTGGGGCGACTTTTCTCAAATCAGCCAAGACATATTCAGTGTTTAATGGTTTTAATTACTACAAGAAACTACTGTAGGTAACAAGTAATGGACGTCTCTCTCTCTCCTGAAAAGGATTTAGGGTGACATAGGCAACTCTAGGTGTTTTTGTTGTGTTTTTAAGCATAGAGGCGGAGAAATGTGAAAGTCTGTTTCAGGTTTATTTATTTAATGCTTTTCTTAAAATGCTAGTTGCTTTCATAACTGCCAGCCTTACATGTTCTGTGTAGCTTCTTATTATTGGGATTTTATGAATAAGAGAAAAGGGGAGTTAATGGTTATTAAAAATGATCAGGCTTGTAGTTTAGTATGCTTCCTGCACCACAAGGGCTCAAGAAAACTGATTGAAACTGAAATTACAGAGTGTGAATAATAACCATCATCATCATCATCATCCCTGGTTTAATTCTGAGCTCAGGTTCAATTCAATTCAATTCAATTCAATTTTATTTGTATAGCGCTTTTAACAATGGACATTGTCACAAAGCAGCTTTACAGAAATGGATTCACGAAAAATATATTGTAAATACTTGAATTTATCTGTGAATTTATCCCTAATGAACAAGCCAGAGGCGACGGTGGCAAGGAAAAACTCCCTGAGATGATATGAGGAAGAAACCTTGAGAGGAACCAGGCAGGTTAATGTCTTCTGAATTTTGTATGGTCTCCCCGTGTTTTCTGTGGGTCTCCTGCAGGTTCTCCAGTTTTCTCCCACTGTCCTAAAACATACCAGTAGGTGAAATGGCTAGTCTAAATTGCCCCTAGGTCTGAAAGAGTGTGTGCATGCTGCCCTGCGATAGACTTTGCACCCAGTACTCCTGGGATAGGCTCTGGATCCATCCATGACACTGACCAGGATAAAGAACTTACTGAAGATGAATGAATGAATGAATGAATGAATGAATGAATGAATGAACACCTATCTTGCACACAGTGGTGTAATCAGACAAAAACAGCACAAACAAAAAAAAAATGCAAGAAATAAAAAAATACAAGGCACCAGAGGTTCACAGAGTTTTCTTATCCACATGGTTTTGCTAGTCAGAATCTCTATGATGGCAGATTGACTCCGGAAGATCAAGGGCAAGAAAATCCACTGCTAAAGGTCAGGCCAGTCAGAACATGACAGGAGAAATGAATTCAACCAACCGAGCAAACCAACCAATTATATCCAGTCACTAAGAATACACAGGGCATATACGGAAAGTCAAAATCCGTGGTTCTCTGAGCGCAGAGGTTTGAAGAGCTGAAAGCATGTTCACTTCTGATTTTTTTTTTTTTTTATAATTCATGAAACTGTGGTGTAGCAGAAGCGGAAAAGGGAAAGTGTAGAAGAGATAGTGTAGGTATGAGAAATGTTCAAGCAAGAGAGAACGCTAGAGAGAGCGAGAGAGTAAAGCATTTGACATGTTCTAAGAAGGCTAGGATGTAACAGAAAATTGCAAAAAGAATGTCAAAACATGCTGTAATAAAAGTTTGCTTCATGTTATTAGATCAATGCTATACAGTACACAGTATACAGTACATTCGAAACTTTTTATAAATGTAATATTTTTTAAAAAACATTTTTTGGATCATAAAAGAACAAGAAAATGGGAAAATAAGACAGGCGAATGTTCTTGGAAACAAAAGGTCCTATAACCGTTGTTGTTGTTCTTCTTTCGGCTGCTCCCGTTAGAGGTCGCCACAGCGGATCATTGGTCTGCATATTTGATTTGGCACAGTTTTTTACACCGGATGCCCTTCATAATGTAACCCTCCCCAGTTTTTTATCCAGGCTTTGGACCGGCACTGTCGTGTGCAACCCCAGTGGCTGGGGTTGTTTCTCTGGCCTGGAATCGAACCTGGGCCACGGCGATGGCAGGGCCAAGGCCTAACCACTAGTCCTCCAGGGACCCAAAAGGTCCTATAACCGTAATGTTAAAAAAAAACTAAAAAAAAAAAAACTGTGGCATTGATGCATGGCCAGTCAGGAGTCTGTATTAATGGGCGTCAAATTTCCAGTCATCCAGAGCAGTTTTATGTGCCATATGGCGGAATGCACCCATTGGAGTTTTCTAGAAACATTTTGAATGACTATGAATACAGATTGTCTTTAATAAGACAATAATGTATGAAATTGTGTACGTGTGAGATGAATGAATCCCGGCGCGCGTTGTGTTTGACTGCATGGTGTTGTGAATGTTGTGTTTTTCTTTGTGAATTGAGTGTCATTATGGCGCTGTTCTCTGTTTCTGTTTGCCCGTTCACTGGGTCTACAAATACACAGCCTCCCATAAGCCCATATTCATAAAAAAACATTTGCAGGGCAAATCTACTGTGTGTGCAGACATGACTGTGGGTTGCAGTGAGATTGTAAACTGTGTGTTTGTGTTTGCAGCTCTAGATCCGTTTTTCTTGGTGGTTTCGGGTTCATGCGATTGATCTACGAATTTCCTCGTGTAAGTCCATTTGCCGAAGGATTCCCACTAAGTCCAGTTGGTGTATTTCTTTTTTTCGTTTTCTTTTTTTTTTTTTAATTCCCAATTTGTTCCACACTTCAGAGCTGCTCTTTGTGAGGGGAGAGTGGTCTGGGGCTGTAGCAATGATGAGGAGAAAATGAAAGAGAAGCAGAAAGGGATGGAATAAGAGTGTGTGAAATGAATGAGTTGCTGTTTAGAGCAGCAGCTGGAAATCAGAGAGTACAGACGGAGAGGGACAGACCGTATCGAAATAGCTACTTCGTTATTGTGTATGTTTTGTGTGTGTGTGTGTGTGTGTGTGTGTGTGTGTGAAAGAGAGTGTGAGAGAGAGAGAGAGGCAAAGATTTATCGTGTATGTGTGTATAAGAGACTGAGGAGGATTTAAAATGCATCTTCAATCATGTTGTGAGAACATGTCAGCCTAGACATGTGTGCATGGGTGTACGTGACAAATCCTCATGTGTGTCCCAACTGACAGGCGAACTGAGGCCTTAGAGACAGACACGGCTTATGTCTATAAGTGAGCACTTACCTGCTCTTGCAAGTGAACTGCTTTCTGTGTAGGAATAATAATAGCTATAGGATCTCCGGTTTGATCCTGAGCCTGGGTTACTCTCTGTGCAGAGTTTCACATGTTCTCCCCGTGTCTGCATGGGTTTCTCCGGGTTCTCCAGTATCCTCTCGCCTCCCAAAAATATGCCTGAATGAGTGTGTGAATGAGTATGTGAAGATGCTTTGCAATGAAATGGTCACTGATATATAGCATTTGTGGTTATCTTAATAGAATTCATGTATATTACATTAAGATCACCCGGAGCAAGCACAGGAAAATGGCTTTGTGTGCGCTGCTGCCATTGTCCTTCAGGTCTCCATCCTCCCAAACTGTTGCCACTGCTCTCCACAGGCCGATCTGGCTTGACGTGGATTGCTCAACCTCCTTCAGGCAAACACCTATCAGGCCGCGCACCTGTTAGAACTCAGCCATGACCAGAGAAATAGATTCAACCACTGACCACCTCTTCTGCAACAAAATTATGGCCTGGATTAGTCCCAAATGCTAGTGGTTATACTATATGTACTTATCAGAATGCCTTCTGAGAAGTAATGTTATGAATCAATTTACATACACTTACGAATCACCAATTATCATTACGCTGATCATTACACAGTCACCAGCTATGTTTTGGTGCACGCGCATCAACATCAGCTGCAAGGAGATGAGGGGAGGGGCCATGTGCATGACTCCAAAGATCTGAGTGGATGGAGCTGAAAAAGAATGTACTACTCGTTGCAACTCCAAACACATAAAATGATAAGCCCACAGTGTATGAAGTAAGGTGTGAGTACCATTGCTAGTCACTGGGGTAGTTCAATCATTGTTACATACATCCTCTGTACCTTAGGTATGAATGGCTCACCTGGGAATATGAAAGTTTTTACATTTAAAACTTACTGAAGGTGCATAATTACACCGTCAGGACCACTTCATAAGCTTTTCCAACTGAGAGCAACATTTTGAGCTGAGCAGCTGAGGGTTAAATGTCTTGATTAAGAGCCTTGCAGTGGTTCTCTGGCAGTCTGGGGATTTGAACTCACATCTTGCTCAGAGCTCAGAACCTTAACCACTGAGCCATCACTGCCCATACCTAGGTCATTAAACACCACAAATTAGCATAGATAAACAAATGTTTTACATAAATCAGCTGTGACAGAGGGGTGCTCAACCATTGTTGCAGATAAAATAGTGAACTTTATGTTTACACAGCCCTACATTTATATACCAACTTGCCAACCTTCGGGGAATTTCATGAAAAAAAACGGATAAGCTAGTGAGAACACCAACTAGACGCGAGTTCTTCATTTGAGACAGAGCACTGCTAAAGCAAGGCTAAAGCCATAGAAAGGGAACAAGAGAGAGAAGTACTCAAAGGATGAAAAAAAAAGTAGGGATTTACGAGTGAGAAGAGATCGCTGATCATCGCCAAGTTCCTATGACAGCGTCCTTTTCTTTAAACATTTTTTATTTGGTCAAGCCAATGCCATTCTAGGTTTTCAGTGCGCTTGCTCTCTTGGCACTTGGCTGTCTGGTATTGTTGCAAAACAAGAAACTAAACCGGCCAAGCACCTTTCATCCCCACACACTCAACCACCTACGTGCTTCGAAATGTCATGCATTCAGATGGGAGGCTTCTCAAAGTGCAGATACAATGGCACACAACTAGGCACACACTTGCACTTGCATGCTAACGCACACATGCACACGAGTACAGAGTAACCTTTAATACTGCTTTTCTGTCTATCCCTCCCTAGAATTGAGAGTCTAAACGGATGAAATAGGAGATTGAAGGTGAAGTTGGATGTCCCACACGGCGACCTAGGTGTTGCTCGAGGCTCCTCAGTCTGAACTCCTGTGTCCTGACTTCCCAACCTTATAAATCAATCTGCCCTTCGAACAGACTGATGAAATTATTTGACTCTGGAGTAAGACGAACATGACGACACCTTGCTGCAAGTCTGCCCTGCTTGCCATCAGCGGGGTGACACTGATATAATCACATGCAGAAATGCTCATGGAGATCTTGCTCACATGATGGTTTGGGATCACGAATAGGCTGGGTTTCTTATTACATACTAAAGAACATGTAGATGAAGTTAAGTCAAAGTGCTTTCATTTGTTTCTTTTTCCCAGTCACAGACTCACTCACTCACACTCACACACACACACACACACACACACACAGACACAGACAGAGCCATCTTTTGGTGCATGTGGAGATCATTTTCAGCTTTTGGTTTTCAAAGGCACCTGGGGAGATACCATGATGTGGCAGATTTCAGCAGGAAATCTTATAGAAAGTGAGAGAGACACACACAGAGAGAGAGAAAGAGAGAGTAGTGTGTCTGTGTGGTTGCTAAGGAACTGCCTGAATGAGCCCAAATTGTACTGTCTGGTTTCCATCAAAGTGCTAGCACGGGAGCAAGGTAGGAGCTCAAACCGTTCTCCTTCTCTTGCTTTCATCGGCAATACAGCAAAAACTCAACCCAGTATGATGCACCGAAGCTAACTGATCACTTCTAGATGCTATCATTCTAAAGGAACAGCATTGACAATTGTCCACTTGATTGTCCATGTAGAGTTGTGCAATGACAAGGTTAAGGGGGGGGGGTCAGATTTGGGTTTCAGGTTGTGTTTGAGATTTCCTCAGTTTTATACAAATTAATTATGACATATTTATGTAAGAAAATCAATTAATCCTTAGACCAATCCTATCCCACAGGTTGTTTTGTTCCTCAGTGTTTATTTTCTGAATATATTTAGAATCAGATATAGCCTATGTGAACATATCAGAAATTATATATACTTGATTTCTCTGAGTTTATTAAGCCTACACCCCAGCATTATACAAATTTCAATCTTGTCTTGTTCTATTGGCAAATAATTTTTCTATATAGTATGTATATATTAAACAGTATCCCATAGTAAATATTTGACTACCATATTTACCAGAATTAAAAAAGAAACAAAACAAAACAGTGCCCTTCGTTAAATGATGATGCCAGCAAGGACTACGTGACCACAAGAGACAAATCTGGAGTGCCTTTTTTGTTAACTAGTGTGAGCACAGGGTAAGAAGCATTCACCAATGTGACTGGGAGGAAGTGTAAGCCTGAAAATTTGTCTAGCATATGAAACAGACATCACTCTCCACCATTCATATAACCGTCTCGTTATTTTGTTGCCATGTATACTCATTCCCATGTAACATGAGTGTGCCTTCTTGCATTTCTCCTTCATTTCATGGCTACCTCCTTGAGAGGAAATTACAGCAATTACTTCATTCAAATGACTCCGCTTTTACTTGCCCCCTTTCATGGACATAAAAGCATCTCTTTTACTCTCTGCCATTTTTCTTATACTGCAGTGCTCGGCGTTCAGTCCTTTGGGACACGACAATTACATTCCCACCTCTTTGACCCCATAAGGTCTGATTATATATTATTCGGTTATTCTAACACTAATAGGAAAGGTTGTAATTACAAGAATGAAGAATGTAAATCTGTAAGTCTGGATGTTGACAGACAGTGTAATGGGTTAACTGCTGTTTTTCGTCTCGGCGTAAAGCAAATGAAATGTATGACGCTCGGTATATGACAGTATTGTGCGTTACAGTTAGTAACAAAAGGACAACATAAGTAACAGTAGGATCATGCTTTATTCTGATGTGATTTCCCTTACACAATTGTGCACACACACACGCACACACACACACACACACACACACACACACAAAGAAACATATACTCACACACTCAAGCCTGTATATCCTCTTTTCCAGGTTTAAAGCTTTCTTGATGAACTTGTCTCCCTCTCCCCACTTGGTCTGCTTCCATGTTTCAGAATAACAAAAAGCGTCTGTAATTAGTCCATGCCA